TGCTGCAGCTGGACAGAGCTCAGCTACCGCCCTGACTTGGGCAGCTCAGGAGCACAGCCCACGAGCAGCAAAACTGCAACCCAAAGCGACAGGAGTGGCAGTCACCGCGCAACAGGAGACAGGACTGTCTGAGACTAGACACAGCCCCTGGAAGGGGTCTAGGCCTCTGTAGAGTTGGGGTGGGGGACTGGTCCTAGGCTCTGACTCCTGAAGGTGAGCTGGAACAGCACGGGAACCACGGCACGGCAGAGGCTCTCCCTGGGACCGTGTACCATGCTGTGACCTTGGTCCACTCAAGGTCAAGAGAGGCGTGTGAGGACATTCCCACGGTGGACAGCACTAGTGAGGGCCCAGAGGCTGTGTGCACTGCACCTGTCCCTGCGGTACAGCCTGTGTGGTACAGCGGCCTGGAAGGACACCTTTTTAAAAGGTCTGGGGCTGGCACTGTGGTACAGTAGGCTAAGCCTCTGCCTGCAGTGCCGACATCCCATATGGGCACCAGTTCGAGTCCTGGCTGCTCCACTTCCGATCCAGCTCCCTGCTAATGTGCTTGGGAAAGCAGTAGAGGATGGCTCAGGTGCTTGGGTCCCTGCACCCATGTGGGAGACCCAGAAGAAGAAGCTCCTGGCTCCTGGCTTTGGATCTGCCCAGCTCCAGCTGTTGTGGCCATTTGGGGAGTGAACCAGTTGATGGAGGTCCCTCTGTTTGTAATTCTACCTCTCAAATAAATAAAAATCTTAAAAATAAAAAAAAGGTCTGCAGCTTCCATGTGTGTTCCAGGGCTGTCGCACGGTTGCTGTTGCACAGCGAGTCAGGTGTCTGAGTCCTCTCTATGGGGAACACCCTGGAGACAGCCGGATCAGACCTGCCATCAGTATCAGTTACTGTTTTCCTCCTGAGTCTTGCTTTCCTTTGCATCTTCGGGCACCACTGCTCTGGTTGCCCTTTCTACTCTGGCTGCTGGGAAGCTCAGGTCAAACCGGTGGCCCTCAAAACAGCAAGTGTGTTGCCGAACGAAACTTCAGGCTCACTCCAGGCTCCATTTTGTGCCTTTCACCGCTTCTCCTACCTTATTCTATCTTGTATTTCACATTTCTTTGAAGACCACCTTAAATCTGCCGGGATGAATGAATGGAATAAGAAAGCTGTGGGGGGAAACTGAGGCGGACTCTGCCTAAGTAACCAGCCCCAACAACCAAGGACCTTCGTCTCTGTGTCCTTATAGTCAGCTGTGGTAATACTGGCTATTCTCAATCTTTGGGACCCTTTAAATTGTACTTAGAATATTCTGTTTCTAAGAAGAAAGAAAAACATAGGTGCTGGCTAAATGAGATGCTCTCAGGGGCTGGTACTTTGGCGCCCAGGCCTGCAGCGTCGGCATCCCATATGGGTGCCGGTTTGAGGTCCAGCTGCTCCACTTCCGATCCAGCTCACTGCTAATGTGCCTGGGAAAGCAGCGGAGGATGGCCCAAGCCCTTGGGGCCCTGTAAGCATGTGGAAGACCCGAAAGAAGCCCATTGCTCCTGGCTTCTGATTAGCTCAGCTCTAGCCATTGCGGCCATTTCGGGAGTGAACCAGTGGATGGAAGGCCTTTCTCTCTATGTCTCTACCTCTCTCTGTAACTCTTTCAAATAGATAAAATAAATCTTTAAGAAAACAATGAGACTCTCCCAAATAAACAGCACTCTCTATGTCTCTACCTCTCTAACTCTTTCAAATAGATAAAATAAATCTTTAAGAAAACAATGAGACTCTCCCAAATAAACAGCACACCAGGAAAAGACCAATTTTGTAGAAGTAGAAAGAAGGGAACTCTGCAGCACTGTTCAAGCTCCTGCAGTGCGTCCTAGACTTATTTAGATCCTCAGCATATTTTATGTACTATCTGGACATGTCAAACCCCTGTATGTTAGGTTACAGTAACTACTTAGGGAAAATGTTTCAAGTTATGATCCCTGCAGAGTCAAAGGGTTCTGAATTCAGAGTTGTCATCCCGAGGTTGACAGCTGAATTCAGGGTCACACTTTATTTTTTGAAAGATTTATTTATTTATTTGAAAGTCAGAGTTACAGAGAGGCAGAGACAGAGAGAGAGAGAGAGAGCTCTTCCATCCGCTGGTTCACTCCCCAAATGGCTGCAACAGTGGCTAGAGCTGGGCTGATCCGAAGCCAGGAGCCAGGAGCTTCTTCCAGGTCTCCTACACACGTGCAGGGGCCCAAGGACTTGAGCCATCTTCCACTGCTTTCCCAGGCCATAGCAGAGAGTTGGATTGGAAGTGGAGCAGCTGGGACTTGAACCAGCACCAATATGGGATGCTGGCACTGTAGGCAGCAGCTTTACCTGCTACACCACAGCTCCGGCCAGAGTCATGCTTTATTAGAACAGTATCCTAGCCACTCACCAGGTAATATAAGAGCCAACATTTGCTTTGCCGGCACTGTGCCACTCCAAAGCCAGGAGCCAGGTGCTTCCTCCTGGTCTCTAATGTGGGTACAGGGGCCTAAGCACTTGGGACATCCTTCACTGTCTTCCCGGGCCACAGCAGAGAGCTGGACTGGAAGAGCAGCAGCCGGGACCAGAACCCGGCGCCCATATGGGATGCCGGCGCCACAGGTGGAGGATTAACCAAGTGAGCCACGGCGCCGGCCCCTATTGTTTTCTTAATTTGGGAAGGAGGGGTAGGGAGGAGGAGGAAGAGAGACAGAAGAGAGCTTCTTCATCTACTGTTCCATACTCCAAATGCCCACAATGGCTGGGGGTGGGGCTGGGCTGAGGCCAAAGTCAGGAGTAAGGAACTCAATCCAGGTCTCCCACATGAGTGGCAGGAACCCAGTTACTTAGGCCATCACTGCTGCCTCCAAGGGTCTACATTAGCAGGAAACTGGAGCTAGGGGCCAGAGCCAGGGAACGAATCCAAGCACTCCAGCATGGGAAGCGGGTGTCTTTAATGCTAAATGCCTGCCTCTACGCTGCCACTTAGAAATTTCCTTTATGAACGGCAACAGCACGAGCACTGTAGAACAAATTGCAGAAGGAACAGATGTTATAAAATATTTATTAGATGACAAATGAATTTAGATTTTGGCTAAGGCTTTTAGAAAATAAATTATAGGCAGTGCTATGTTTCCAGAAACAGAATGTGGTCCGAATATTTTCTATAGGTTTTACTGTGAGCAGAACACAATTGATCGCATTTGCAAAGACTGGAAGAATAAGCTAGGCCAGGAAATAATGCATGATGTCAGAGCATAAGCCGCCACCACAGCAGTGCTTTGAAAGCCCTTTGAACAGATAGCTCAGTGCTCACAGATCCAAACGGGCACTGCCTTCAAGGCAGCACTCCGAGAGGCGACACCTAATAAATGTGCTTGCTGAAACTCCCCAAATCCTTCCATCCAGCACTAGGGCCCAGGGCACTTTATTTTGTGACAGCTGATTTTTATCTTTAAGAGATTTGGGGCTTATTTAGGTAAGAAAGCAAAGCATGACTCTGCTGTGGACTGAATGCCTGTGTCCTCCAAAATCCCCAACGCCCAACACCATGGCATCTGCAGGTGGGGCTTCAGGGAGGCAATTAATTAGGTCAAGGAGGCTGGGGCCCTCCGAATGGGATTAGCGCCCTTACTAGAGGGGCTGAATCCCTTTCTCTCTCTCCCCTTGTGAGCAAGGCCAGGGGGACTGCCCTCACTGGGACCTGCTCACGCTAGCACCCTGCCAGCCGACCTCTGGTCTAGAACTGGGCATCTGGCCTCGTGGTGAAGCCACTGGTTGGGACACCCATGTCCCATGCCTGCAGTGCCTGGGTACCATTCTTGGCCCTGGCTCCTGATTCCAGCTTCCTACTAGCGGCCTCAAGTGACTGGATTCCTGCCACCCACGTGGGGGATGTGGACTGCGTGGTTTTTTTGCTACTGGCTCTGGGCCAGCCTGACCCACTGTGGGCATTTGCAGAGTGGACCAGCAGATGGCAGCCCTTTCAGAAAGTCACCAGGTCTGCGGTGCTTTGTTGCGACAGCGTGAGGAGGCGAAGGCTGCAGAGGCAACAGTGAGTGTGTGCTCCAGGCAGGGATCGGTGCCAAAGTGACTGCTGCAACGTTGCACCGGCAGTCCTATCTGTGTCACAAGACTACACCTTCTCAGAATGACCTCACTGCTACGAACTACTGTTAAAAGATAGGTATGATCTTACCATGATGCTACCACCACCACCCATACCACACGGCATGTGAGGCAAACGCTGCGCTAGGTACTTGCCCCACATTTCCCAGTTAATCCTCAGGCCTCCAGAGCTATGTGTTATTAGCATCCCCAGCACACAAATGAACAAAAAAGGCCTCAGAGTCAAGACAGCATGTGGTTAGCAAACGACAGTACTGGATCTGAACCCGGAACCCTCTGACTTTGGACGTCACGCTCTTGGTACTGCACAGTGAGGCCTCTAGCAACGAGGCTGGGATCTGTGAACATGGGCAAACCAGCCCTGGAACAGACTGCATGAGCCAGAGCCCGCTGGTGCCCAGGGCAGTCCATTTTACCCCCAGGGCGATCAGGAAGGGATGATGCTCGGAGAAACCCGAGTGCAGCCCGGCACTCACCTTTGGAAAGCAGAGAATTTTCCCAACAGCTGTCGGTGAGCCAGGAGGAGCCGTGACAGGGAGAGCAGGTGGGATTTGGGGGTCTAAACGGATAAACACTCAGAGCTCAGTGACTCATTTCTGGGGCAGGCAGAGAGGATTCTAGAAGTTACCAAGTCTTAGGTGGTGGTCACTGAACCCACCGCACAGAAGGGTGCTTAGCATAAAAGCGCTAGTGATCTTTACGGCATAAGCAGTCCCGAATGCTGTCAGTAGTCTGGACACAGCGATCTGAGAGCCGGGCCAGAGGTGACAATGCTGGGCGTGTTATCATTTCCCAACTGTGCGTCCAAGCCTTTGGCCTTGATCATGACGCGTCATGAACGCTAACCCCCTCAGGGTCCCAAACGAAAACAAAGACGTTACCTGGTGGTATTTCTTCAGGATGTTGTGCATCTCGGCCACGTCTTCGCTGGTGATGGTCTTGATGACGTATCTCTTGTCGTAGGACGTGTGGAACCGTGCCCCGCTGCGGGCCTGCGAGTCGTTGGGAAGGGGTGCGCTTCTGGTCAAGGAATTCTTCCCGGAGCGGGACAGGGGTGGACGGGTGGGAGGGGAGGGAAGAGAATCGGTTAAAGGGGTGGCTTTTCTGATGCCCAGATGAGCTGTCGTCATAGCAAGTGTTCAAGAGCATCTGTGTTGGGAATGAACCGATCAGCAGGATGACAACATCTTGCGGCTCTCAGAGCTCAGGTGGCCAGCCTCGCAGATGAAAGGGCATCAGCTTGACTATTACACCACGCTCTTAAGGTGGGCTGGGGGCTAGAATTGTGATCAGAGTTACTTTATTCACCTGGTTCTTCTTTTCAGAGCTGGACAGGAGCTCCAATTTTTCTTCTGAATAAAGTTAGGAGCCAGTTATGAAACCAAGGTCGACCGTCCCCTGCTATCTCTGTGTGTGACAGGCGCTGGGCCAAGACCTCGGCTAGGCCATTCCCCTGGCTCTGGTAACATCCCTACGCTACGTTCACGGTCATTGTCCTCATCACTCTATGCGTGATGCATGCTGGGGAAAAAGGGGTGGAATAAACAGGCCAAGGCCACAGCGCCAGTAAGGGAACAGCTGGAGTTCCAACTCAGGCATGGTCGGCTCAGAACAAGTCGTTGACCAGGGACTGCGGCCTCCTGGGCTATGCCCCAGAGGAGGGAGGCAGGGGCCCGGGCCTCAGCATTCTGAAGCCTGCTCTGGTCCAGCCTCCACTCCACCGAGTCTGAGTACTCGTGGCTCCCTGCGGGGCAGACGAGGAGGAGCTGGGAGCAGAGGCTCTGAGCAGGGGCTTTTCTGGCGTCTCTTAGTGCAGCGTCTGGCTCATGCTGTGTACGTAGCCGCCAGGTAAGCCTGGTGTGGGAAAGCTTAGACGGATAATTCTAAGTTCAGGGGCTGGAAGCCGCACCTCCTTCGCTCTGAGTTGCCATGTTCACCTACCTGTCAATCGGGGACCCCTCCCTAGAAAGTACCTCCTCTTACCCGGGATGTGAGAGTGGTACCACATAAACACTTCTGTTTTTCTAAGCTCATAAAAAGCCAGGTAGCACAGAAGCTTGGGCTTTCCCCCTCGTGGACTCAGGATGGGCAGAGCAGGGTATAGTAATTCCCTTTCCCTGGCCAACTCTCCCTAAATAAAGCCCTAATGGGCCTGTGTATTTTTCTTTCCTTTTTTTTTTTTTAAGATTTATTTATTTGGAAGTTAGAGTTACAGAGAGGCAGAGGCAGAGGCAGAGGCAGAGAGAAAGAGGTCTTCCATCTGCTGGTTCACTCCCCAAATGGCCGCAATGAATGGAAGCTGAGCTGATCTGAAGCCAGGAGCCAGGAGCCTCTTCTGGGTCTCACAAGCAGGTGCAGGGGCCCAAGGAGTTGGGCCATCCTCCCTTGCTTTCCCAGGCCACAGCAGAGAGCTGAATAGGAAGTGGGGCAGCCAGGACTTGAACCCGTGCCCATATATGGGATGTCAGCACTGTAGGTGGAAGCTTTACTTGCTATGCCAAAGTGCTGGCCCTGGGCCTGTGTATTTTTCTCACTTTGTAAATAAAGTGTATCATACTGCATGCCATGTTTATGCCTATACTTAGAATTCTTTTCTAAGTAAAGGACAAGAGTCTGGAAATTTAATTTAAGTCCAGCCTAGCCCACAACAAGCCTACCCTCCTCTCACGCAGGCTCTTCCATTGTCTCTCCCCCTTACAGCGTCTGGAAGCCTCTTGCCCATGCCCCACCTTCCTTGCCCTGGCCCTCAGACCCTGGCTTGGCACAGCCCTGCCCCTAGAAGCCATCCCTACTAACTGCCCTTGAGTTGGCTCCAGAGGTGCAGTGGTTCTCCTGCTCTGCTAACACCCCCAGGCCATGGTCATGGTTACTACCCAAAGGGACCACACAGACCTCGCCCCACCACTTCCTCTCCTTAATGGGCAATCGAAGACTGCAGTGGGCCAAAGGTGGTCTGGGTCACGGAACAGAGAGGTCTTCAGGGGAAGGTGCTGTTTCTGCCCCAGGCATTTTCCATGGAAAAGTCCCCTTCCTCCCAGCATCTCCAAGGCTCCCCGTCTTGCCCTTTCTCTCTAGATGAAACCCCAGAGGACTGAACAGGGATGAGGCAGAATCGAGTCACAGAGGTGCAGCTGGGCAAGGAAGCCCCATACTTCCGGGGGTCCTTGTTTCCACTGTGGCAACAGATTCTCGCATTCTGAGTTAGCCTGTGGGCATCCAAATGTAAGCAGAGCCAAGATGGCCGGAGAACGGCATCTGTCTTCCCTAGCTTATCAGAAAATCCAAGTGAAGAAAAAAATCAGTGCAACTCCCAGCGACTTCAAATAGCAGAATCTGGCAGTGTTCAGTTATTCTTAAGATAAATGAAATTCGCTGGATAGACTGAGAATGATGAAATGATTTTCATGCTGAAATGACTATTATGAGGGACAGGCATTTGGCACAGTGGCTGAGTGGCAGCTTGGGACACCCACATCCGATATCAGAGTGCCTGGTTTCAGGCCTGGCAACTCCACTTCCGCTCAAGTTTCCTGCTAATGTGTGCCCTTTGTGGGGGTGGTTGGGTAGCAGGTGATGGCTCGAGTAGTTGGGTCCCTGCAACCCATGTAGGGGACCTGGATTGAGCTCTAAGCCAGTGTCATCAGACTGCCGCGCCCTGTTGTTGGGGACATTTCGGGGAGTGAACCAGCAGACTGGAGCTCTCTGTCACTCTGCCTTTCAAATAAAATGAGAATACATTTAAAAAATTTTTTACGTGACTATAGTAAAACACGGTTTAATTCTCAATGACATTGCTGTTTCTCAAACAAATACAATAATAAAACCCAATAAGTCTTTACACTATTTCTTACTTATAATAAAAAGGAAGAAATTCAAAGTAAATGAACTATTTTGGGGTTTTAAATACTAGTGGGGAAAAAATCAATTATTATAATTGGCTAACTTTTTTCTCCTAAACATTAATCTGCAAAAGGATAGTTATTCCAAATAAAACAAGAACTCTAGGATTAGGACTGCAAGTAATTTTCAGGCATAAAATTAAAGCAGGAACAATCAACTTTATGACAGCCAGGTGGAACAGACCATAAGCTTTGTAAAACTGACAACAGAGGTAAAATACCTTTGGGAGGGGGTGACAAGGAAGAGTAGACGAGAACCACATTCTGCGAAGGATGGGGTAAAGGTGGCCCATGTTCACAGTGCGTTTTGTGTGGGAGGGAACAACGTTCGCTTTCAGGCCACTGGGGGAGAACATGGCTGAAAACTGTGCCATCAGTGCTTCCTGAACCTAACAAGCACCTGAGCCACTGCGGGGAAGAGGAGTGCACAGTCTGGGGTCTCCTCGCCCAGGGCAGGGTTAGGTAGCATTTTAAGATGTAGATGCTGCTGATGGGGCTGCTCTGCAGTCACACGTGAGAGCCCAGAGTCACTGGCTGGTGCTTCCAAGGTGCTTCCTGTGTGGTCACTGCAGGCTTTCTTGCATTAGTGCTTTCCCCATTATATCCTCTCCACCCCCAGTTTGGTTAAAATGGGAAATTTTATAGTTATAGATGAACTGTATTAATTATGTATTAATTAATTAAACACTGTATTAATTAATTAATCACTGTATTAAAGGGACCTTTAGTAACACTGACTACTGACAAGGCAATATATGAGCTTACGAAGGGCTAGGAATGACTAATCAAGAAATGCAAAAATTCATTAGCTCAGATGTTACCCTTTCCCAAATTCTTCGCCTTTCTTTAATGTTCAAAGACATTTTTATAATCATTTACTATAGACTTTGCATAACTACTCATATACAAGTATTAGCCCTGGGTTATAAGATCTCATGAATTCTAATTTCGATTCTGTCTTAATCCACTTTATTAATGGTTACATGCATGGTCCCAATCCACAATATCTATCTCCAGTGTGTGAAAAAATTTATTATTATTATTATTATTATTATATTATTTTAGAGAGGCAGAGAGAGGGAGAAAGAGCTAGGTCATCCACTGATTCACTCTCCAAATGTTCTCATTGGCTGAGGCTGGAGCTAGGACTTGGGAACACAAGCCAGGTCTCTCTGTGGGTGGCAGGAATCAGTTACTGGAGCCAGCACCACAGCCCCCCGTAACCTAAACTGTTGGGAAAGTTCTTGGTTTGCCAAATGTAGGATGTAACTTTCCTGTCCCTGTGAACATAAAAAAAAGTGATGAAGAGTGGGGCCAGCGACATGGTGCAGTAAGTTAATCCTCCACCTGTGGTGCCAGCATCCCATATGGGCGCCAGGTTCTAGTCCTGGCTGCTCCTCTTCCAATCCAGCTCTCTGCTGTGGCCTGGGAAAGCAGCAGAAGATGGCCCACGTCTTTGGGTCCCCGCACTTGCATGGGAGACCTGGAAGAAGCTCCTGGCTTCGGATCTGTGCAGCTCCAGCCGTTGCGACCATTTGGGGAGTGAACCATTGGATGGAAGACCTCTGTCTCTCCCTCTCACTGTCTATACCTACCTCTCAAATAATTAAATAAAATCTTAAAAAAAAAAAAAAAGTGATGCCGAGTAAGCCCGGGACAGAGGCCAGCCTGAGATGCAGATGAGACCCACCTCAAGGCCTAAGAAGCACCACTGACAGGGTTGGTGTGGTTGACACCAAGGCACCTCCTAGTCGCCAGGTGATGCCCTGACTTGGGGGATGTCTCCCTTTTCCACCTGTCTTTATGAGAAAGCTGTCAGGCAGGATTACCCAAAGAAAGCCACCCAGAGCTTGGAGACATCGACTCTCATTAGAAAACAAATTCTCTGCCCTGGACAGAGCTCAGGCACTTGTATGCTCTGTAACAAGGTGACACTTCTTAAATTCAAGCCCCCTTCCACCCCTCCTCCCCCAGGTCCTGAAACCATCTGCTCAGAAGTGCTAGGTTATTTCCTACGGCTCTGATTATATAACAACTTGTATCTTTATTTTTTTAAAAAAAGATTTGTTTATTTATTTGAGGACAGAGAGAAAGAGAGAGAGAGAGAGAGACAGAGACAGAGAGACAGAGACAGG